TTAGCAAGTTAGTGAAAGAATCATAAATCATAATTATCTAAGGAATTAGAAATTTAATTACCATATTTAATCCTCTCCCTCACTACTGATTGGACTCATAGTGATCCGCCTGTTTACAGCCTCCCAAGAGCTGGGATTACAGGCACACGCCACCACGCCCAGTCACAATTGCCATCTCAGCGCACCCCAGGGGCAGGGATTGAACCCCTGGTCCCTGCGCTTTAATCCGCTGAGTTATTTGGCCGGCCTTATGTTTTTAACTTCATACATTTTAAAACACAGAAAGTATACCTTCTTCCTTAATCTCTATGCAGTCCCAATTATCCATTGTCTTTTCTTTTGGAGAGTTATTGCTGTATCTATAGGTCACATACAAGACCCAAAAAAGACAAGCAATTCTGTAAGACAGTCCTACAAGCGAGGGTGGGATTACCAAGCCGTGATAACATGTACAGGGAAGCTCTTACTCACTTTGCTGGCAACAATGGAGTTTTGGAAAAGACAGCACGTGCGGGCAGCCAGGACCCACAGGCCTCTGCGCAGCAGCCGTTCTACACAGCGCTCCACAGACAACAGGGAGAGACGAGAGACCTTCCCATTCAGGTGCAAACAGAAGAGCTCATTCTTGTAGACGGCCACATCCTGAATATCTGCAGGCCCACAGGGTGAACACACAGAGAGTGAACGGAATACCCCTTCGCCTTTATTGCAAGAGCCGAAAATATTCTACTAAACTCATTCTTTAAAACAGTTCAGCATGACTGAATTTCATCTCTAGTTCTATCCTATTATTGTACTTGTATTTCAATAAAGAAACATATTGTAGGCACTGTCCTAGAAATATCAGGACTAAAGGAGATGGGGAAAGAACCACATCTCTCTAGCTTGAAGCCCTATGCAGCAAATGCTATTTTCTCCCTGGGCCTGGTGCTACACACCTATAATCTCAGCATTCACAAGGCAGAAGGATTGAGTCTGAACCCAGGCTGGGCTACCTATGAGACCCTATCTAGAGAAATAAAAAAATACCATGCTATTTCTAAAAGAAATCTG